TGGTGCAGCATCTGGACAGAAGCGTGAGTCCAGTTTGTTGGTTTTATGTTGTTCTGTCGGTTCTTCTCGGGGAAAGTTCTTCTCAGGTGGAGGCTCCAAACATCACTCCCCGCTCCAGCTCCTCTGAGCCCGGACAGAACCGGAGCTGCTCCCGCTGGGTCAGGACTCTGGTCTGGATCTAGTCCCACTGTGTTTCTCACACGAGGCTAAAATCAGGACATTTTTAAAGTTGAATCAGTTGAACAGGCTCTTGTCTGTTGCCATAAAATAATGTGGTTCATTAATAAAATAACAAATGCTGTTGCTACGTGAACTCGGGGAACACCGGGTCGTCTCTGAGCTGCAGGTCCTGACCAGAGGTACACACCCCCAGTTTAGACTCACTCTGGAGCCACACGTTCACACGTTGGTTCTTGTTCTGATCTTCGTGTGTCACATTTTCTGTTTTGGTCGTTGTTGGTAAAATAAATCTAAAATGAGTCTCGTCTGCGTCTGAACAACATCTGTTTTTGCTCTGGAGTCGTACAGCGCGTCGTTTCAGAGGAGACGCGTTTCTCCCATGATGCATCTGGAATAGTCCATTTGGACCTGCTGTCTGTGGTTTGGACCCAACTTCGGGTTCACACCAGAGGAATCGCACCAAAATTTGGTATTTGGTGGATTCAAGTGAACCCAGACCACCTTTTTTTTGCGGTCTCAGTCCGATTGATTTAGTCTGAGTTTGACTGACACTTTCACACCAGCGCTAATGAACCGAACTAAGAATTATTCGTTCGAATGGACCATTTGGTGCACCAACTACCGTCGCTGTGAAAGAACCCTAAGTATAATCAATAGATTATATGTTTACTAAAATAAACTATAGCTGCAGACTTATTGTTTATGTAGAAGTTGAATCAAACCATCCTCTGTTAACCCTTGTTTTACATAACCGCGCATAACTTTTTAACCATAAAAGATAGAGACTTACTTTTTTTCCCCTTGTATAGATAAGACCCGTGGCTTTCCGAGAATGTTTACGTCACAGTTTTCAGTACGTCACACGCACGCTGCGTGGTGACGTACTGAAAACAGGTGTCCAATAGGAACTTTGTTCTTCGGCGCGTGACGCGCTCCATCCATTTTCATTGGCCCAAACTTTGCCAAAGATTGTTGTAAGTCAAGATGATTGTTTCCTCTGAGCATCTGAGCTCACAGCATAAAGCACACCTATGTACCGTTATTCCTCAAGTAAATGACAAATTACGCATCTCGGGTGTGCGTAATTGCGCATCCCTTACTATTTTTATTTGAAAAGTTTTTTTCACATGCAAATGATACAAAATACACCCAAAAGGACGTTAACAGACTAGTGCAGCGCAATGAATCGGGTGCGGCGCGGTTGCGCGCAGGTGCGCGCGGTTGCCTGCTTGGCGTAGACCCGGCACGCATTCATGTGCCAGGGCATTTGTTGTTTTACGCACAGAGGATAAAGAACTCCGAGAAGTCCACCAGGAGAAAGAAAGAACAGAAATGGCACGAAAAGCATCCCTTTCCTTGCTGGAAGCCGTGGCGATGGTAACGGAGCCTGGCAGTGATGCCGAGTCCGATGTGGACACTTTTTATACAGACGAAGAGTTGGAGGATCTGGACCCTATTGAAGAGGTAGTAGCAAATATTTCATATCTATTTAGAGCAAACATCATGCAACACTTGTAGTAAACGGGTGTAAATACATAATAGTTGCGTGCGTAATGCCTATTTACGTATTGTTTGGATACAGTTTTATTTGATGCGTGAGGGGTATAATCATTTAGGTGGGGGATGAGATTGTGAACTTCAGACAACTGTTTACCTGTGTTGCACTAGACTTATGACATGTATGTTGTTGTTTGTAATAACGAGCTACAAACTACATGTGTAAAGTGGATGAAGTGGTTTGGGAGGTGTGGATGTCCTAATTAGTGAGGTCATAATCTGTTGACACCATTTGGGTGGGGGATGGGGTTGTGCATTGTGTTTGCCCCTGCTGCACTAGACTTAGACTTGTTGTAGTACATATGTAATACACAAGTTTTACACAAGCTAATTTTTTTTTCCTTTTCTGTTGTTTAGTGCTGAGTCAGAGGATGCTCCTCAGGCTCCTCCAGATTCCCCTGTGCCATCCAGTTCAGGTGTCTCCCCAGCTTCATCTTTGTCTACAACCCCAGCCACCCCCCAGAGCCATCAACACCTTCAACACCTATGGCCTCCTCTGAGAGCAGGGGGAGGGGCAGGGATGGAGTACAGGGAAGATCCAGATCTCCACTCCCCAGTACCTCAGTCACCACACTCACTAACCACCACCCCAAAGAGAGGAGGGAAAAAAAGAAGAAGTGGAAGAGCGAGGAGGGCAGCAAGTAAGGACAGCACATCGCCACATCCCAGACCCTCAAATACAACTGAGTGGCTTTCACAGCATGACCAAGACACTGCCCCTGTCCCCAAAAAGTTTACTCCTAAAAGACAGCCTGGACACCAACTGGACAGTTCTGCAACATATTCTCCAATGGACCTATTTTCACTATTTATCTGCAAGAGTGACATCACAAACCTTTGTACCAACACCAACAAACAAGCAGAAAAGAACATTGCCAAAGGTAAAAAATACAAATGGGAGCCTATTCAAGAAACTGAATTTTACAAATTCCTCGGCCTAACATTTTATTTTTCATTGCTGAAACTCAACACAATGAGAGACTATTGGAAAAAAAACACAATTTTCAGTACTATTTTTCCACCAACAGTGATGTCCAGGGACCGGTACCTCACAATATCTTGGAACATTCATATGAGTGACCCTGACAAAGACACAGAAAATGACCAGAAAAAAGGTAGCCCTGCCCATGATAAACTGTTTCGACTTAGGCCATTGCTGGACTCCATCACTACAGCATGTAAATCCCACTACCAGCCCAGGCAGAACATCTCCATAGATGAAAGGATGGTGGCAACAAAGGCACATACTGGAATGACCCAATATATGAAGGCGAAGCCCACCAAGTGGGGTTTCAAACTGTTTGTTTTGGCTGACAGTGAGAATGGCTACACAGTTGATTTTGTCATCTACACAGGAAAGTCCCCATTTTTGTCAGGTATGGGGCTTTCCTATGACTCTGTGATGTCCCTCATCAAACCTGCGTTCCTGGGTGGTGGCTACAACCTTTTTGTGGACAATTTCTACACCAGTCCCAAACTGTTCAGAGACCTAAATGCTCTGAACATTGGAGCATGTGGCACCTACAGGGACAACAGAAAAGGCTGCCCCAACACAAAAATCAACTGTCTCAGCAAGAAGGATCCCAGAGGAACAATCCGTTGGATCAGAGATGGCCCACTGGTTTTTGTAAAGTGGATGGATTCCCGTGAAGTGTCTGTGTGCTCCACCATTCATCCAGCTTTCACGGGAGACACAGTGGTACGGCGGTTCAAGGGTGAAGATGGCAGATGGGGGACAAGGCCGATTCCGTGCCCAAAGCCAGTGATGGACTATAATAAACATATGGGAGGAGTGGACCTGTCTGACCAGCTGATCCAGTACTACAGCGTCCATCACACCACCATGCGTTGGTACCGGACCATCTTCTATCACTTTCTGGACATTGCTGCTACAAATGCATACATTTTGCACAAAGACTTGTGTAAGGAGAAGGGGCAGACTCCCATGACACACAAGGGCTTTCTGCAGGAGCTAACAGCACAGTTGTGTGGAGTGACTTTAGAAGTGCCTCTTGCCAAGACCCCTGCAGAGCACTTACCTGTGCCAACCTCTGTGCAGGAAGACCGCAGCAGGCAAGGATCTTATGGGAGGCTGTCATGTGTGCACTGCTGACAAACACATGGGAAGAGGCAGTGTACTGCATGAAAATGCAAGGCCTGTGATGTGGCACTATGCCTAGTGCCTGATAGGAACTGCTTCCATGATTGGCACCAATGAAGGACTTGGACGAGTGCACTTTTTTTTGTTTTGAGGGCAAAAATGACATTTTTAGAATACTTAGAAACTTGATATTTTGCACTTTTGTAGCTAAGACCCTAAACTAACTATTTATTATGTCTAAAAAGTTGTTTATACATGTTTGCTGTGTGTTTTTAATAAAGGAGTGTGAATATTATTTTCCGTTTTTTTTTTTCCTTTGTGTTTCTAGTTCTATAGCTTTTATTACAGCCATATGACACAACTACAGCATTCAGATTGTGAAAGAACAGGTTGTGCTGAAAAAAAGGATGTATAGCACTTCATTAGGGGATAAAAGGGGGAGTTTTAATAGCAAAATTAAGAAAAAATTCCAGGCGAGGACAAAAGTACCAAAAATGCCCTTAGGTCTGGAAGGGTTAAACAAAGGAGACTCACAGAGCTTTGGTGGAGGCCTTGACCACTGGCAGCAGCCTCAGGAGAACCTCCTCTGAAGCACAGTATTTATTCAGCTCAAACTGGTCCAGATCTTCTTCTGATGACAGTAAGATGAAGGCCAGAGCTGACCACTCAGCAGGAGACAGTCCGACCTTTAGACAGACGTCCTGATCTCAGGTACAGTTGGATCTGCTCCACCAGATCATGATCATTCAGTTCATTCAGACAGTGGAGCAGGTTGATGCTCCTCTCTGCAGACACATCCTCACTCAGCTTCTTCTTGATGTACTCAGCTGTTTTCTGATTGGTCTGGGAGCTACTTTCTGTCTGTGTCAGCAGACCTTGTAGAAGGCTCTGATTGGTCGACAGTGAAAGACCCAGGAGGAAGCGGAGGAGCAGGTCCAGGTGTCCATTTGGACTCTGTAAGGCCTGGTCCACAGCAGAGTAGTAGAAGGCTTCAGTGTCAGGACACTCAGAGGACTGTGGTGGGTTCAGCAGGTTGATCCCAGTGTTGATGAAGGTCTGATGGACGTGAAGAGCAGCCAGAAACTCCTGCACACTCAGATGGATGAAGCAGTAGACCTTGTCCTGGTACAGGCCTGGCTCCTCTCTAAAGACCTGTGTGAACACTCCGGAGTACACTGAGGCCGCTGCAGCGTCCAGCCCACACTCGCTCAGGTCACTCTCGTAGAAGATCAGGTTTCCTTTCTGCAGCTGCTCAAAGGCCAGTTTTCCCAGAGACTCCACCATCTTCCTGGTCTCTGGACTCCAGTGTGGGTCTGTCTCAGATCCTCCTTCATACTTGATGTTCTTGACTTTGGCCTGAACCACCAGGAAGTGGATGTACATCTGAGTCAGGGTCTTGGGCAGCTCTCCTCTCTCTCTGCTTTTCAACAGATGCTCCAGGACTGCGGCAGCGATCCAGCAGAAGATCGGCAGGTGGCACATGATGTGGAGGCTTCTGGACGTCTCGATGTGGTAGATGATTGTGTTGGCCTCGTCTCTGAACCTCTTCCTGAAGTACTGCTCCTTCTGCGGGTCGGTGAACCCTCTGACCTCTGTCACCACGGAGACGCACTCAGCAGGGATCTGATTGGCCGCCGCGGGTCGTGTGGTTATCCAGAGGCGAGCGGAGGGAAGCAGGCTCCCCCTGATGAGGTTCACCAGCAGCACGTGCACTGAGGCGGACTCTGTGGGGTCGGTCAGGACCCGGGTTCGTCTAAAGTTCAGCGGAGAACAGCACTCGTCCAGTCCGTCAAAGATGAAGAGCACCTGGAGCTGTTGGAAGCTGCAGAGACGTTTGGATGGACTGAAGAAGTGGTGCAGCAGCTCCACCAGGCTGAACTTTGTGTCTCTGAGCACATTGAGCTCTCTGAAAGTGAACGGGAACAGCAGCTGTATGTCCTGGTTGGCTTTGCCTTCAGCCCAGTCCAGACTGAACTTCTGAGTGAGCACTGTTTTCCCCACACCAGCCACGCCCTTTGTCAGCACTGTTCTGATTGGTTCTTGTGATTGGTTTTGGGGTTTAAAGATGTCCTCACATTGGACAGGTGTCTCATCGTCTGGTTTCCTGGAGGCTGTCTCCATGTGTCTGATCTCATGTTCCTGGTTGACCTGTCCTGAGTCTCCCACAGTGATGTAGAGCTCTGTGAAGTGTTCATAAAACTCTTTCTTTCCACTGATGCCGTCAGTGAGGAACTTAAACTTCTCTCTCAAGTTGGACTTGATCTCCTCACTGCTCTGTCTGATGATCTCTGTGAGGACACAAACAGGGACAGAATATCACACACACACTCTCATGAAGACCTTCTAACACTGAGGCCCTTTGAATGAATCTCCAAACACCAGATCTTTTCAGAAGAAAACCCTGGTCTCATGTTCAGTCTCCAAAAGAGGAAAGAGTTTTCACTGCAAAAGGAAAGAAACATGTGAGTCACATGGAAGCAGCGATCAAGAATAAAAGAGCTTGAAAAGTTTTTTAAAAAGTCAGTTTGAGTGATTATACGGGAGAATATTGTGAGCTGCAATGAGAAAATAAACAAAACCAGTGACATGTTTAAATGTACGACTGTAAATCCCCCTGTGCATCATGGGAAACAAACAGCTCTGAAATAGAGGCAGAAAATCAGAACGAAAGATTTCAAAGCAGAATCTCTGCAGCAAGATTTTTTATCCAAAACATAACACTCCTTTTAATTAAAGATGTTCTGCTCTGAAATATCACAGTTCACTGTACAATATTTTCCTTCCTGGTTTTGTGAAAACACAAAAGTGTCTTAGACTCAAACAAACTTTATTGACCCTCAACAGAAATGACTTGGACACAGCAGCTCACACATCACAATATGTTATAAAAAAAAATTATAAATAGAGAGAAAAAATATAAATGATAATAAAAAAAAAATAAGTAGCAAAAATAGACTGGTGTCAAATAAGACATAATTATATAAATGTAAATGTACAAGTAAAAACAGAAATACAGTAATATAAATACTGTACATCACAGTTATATCGCTGGTTTCAGATGACGTCACGTCGACGTCACCAAAAGCAGATGGGGTCAGGAAGTAAAGACAGACGCACAGAACCCATTTACCTCCACTGACTCAGCACCAAAACGCCTCATTTCTGTGTGTAGCCCGGGTGGAAAAAACATATTTATTCTCTCTGTTAATAATAATAATTTATAGTTGTCCCTGTGTGACTGCTAGAGGTGCGCAGATGGGCTACTTTTTTATCCGCAACTGCATCGCAAAACTCATCATCCACCCGCTATTCATTTGCAACCACAGTTTTTGACCAGTTTTCAAAACCGCACCCGCCCGCCATCCGCTCAGTCTCCTCCCAGTTGCTCCGAGTTCAGAGTTTTTTATTTGAGTAGTGAAACCGCCACCCGCTCGAAGTTAATTAAAATATTATTTTTCGTCACGTCATCCGCCCGACCCGCAGTTTAGCCACGGTGTCCGCGACTGTAACCGCCATCCGCGCATCTCTAGTGACTGCATCATCCAGCCATGTGACTAAGCACAGGCCAATCAACACGTAATATAACCCGGTAATGACAGACTACCAGCAGAGCGGACAGGGCACGCTCAAGAAACTTTTTGTTACACTCTGTGCAATTTATAGTATTTTACATGATGATCCTTAACACTTGAATCATGAATATTTGAATTCTGGATTGTATTATTGATGCCATTCATGAAGTTGCTAGCAACATATATACTTATTTATTTATTGTATAATATGGAACTTAGTTAACAATAAATAAGTATATGATAATTGTGTGCACACGGCGCTCTTACACTGGTCCTGTCCACTTTTTTTATGCAGCCCAGGTTTCTATATTGATGGCGAGCTAACCCAGAACAAGAATCAAAGAACTGTGAACGCTGAAGCCTCTGAGTGTCGTCTCCTCGTTGGTGCTCCTCTCCTGCTCTCTGGTTGGGCTGGTAGGAGGCTTCTTCAGCTGCCCTGTTTTCCGTCTTCAATACAAACTGTTCTCCGCCTGTGCTTACTTCGGGCACAGTGGTTTGAATTGCATATAAAGGACATTTGTACGCAACATTACAATGAACATTTGCATTTTTATGCACTAGCTGAACTTATTGAGTGCGGACTACAAGTGTATTTGTAAATTGAATGTCATATTTTCAATGGCCATTTGTTTGTTAATTGTTGTTTGTCATTGTGTCAATATTTCAATATATGGTACCATCTAAACGCAACTCCTGTTTCAGTCTCTGTCTCCACTCCCTGAGCCGAATTTACATATTCTGGTACTCACCCACTACAATACTGTAATTGCAATTTTGTTACAGTGTACTTACCCTAGTAACACACCTGCTACATAATTTGTGGCGAGCTAGCCAGGAGTGGAGTAGTTAGCTGAATCTTGGTGCATATAGTTGACAAACATAGAAACATTTGAGAAACATGGCATCAAAATCTCTAACTCAGTCTTAGTCCAGGACACAACTAGGACAGAAACGGATGATGAAGTTGTCAATTTTTTGAAACAGTTCGGTTCCGTGCGTGTAGCGAAAATTATTGATAAACCCAAGTTTGTTTTTCGTCAGTCTATTGTAGTCGAATTTAATTCCTTTAGTTTCACTGCGCAAGATTCTGCCCTACACTTACATTTGTGAAAATCATAAAGTAACTTCTGAAATTGTGGACTTATCTTTAGTCTGTGCTGATGAAATAGGCAAAACGCAGACTGAGAACTGCATAGTCCAAAAAAAAAAAAAAAAGCCAAAAAGTGGCTAATGTAACTGATCAAGATTTTGCATGGTACTAAATGGGGTGATGTCTCTGGTTGGCCAGACTGTTACTGAGCTCCAGCCCACTGCTGGTGAAGTTGAGGTTCCGCAGGAGGACAGTAAGAGAGAACTACCATCTGTGGCTCCTGTCAATCTGCTGCCCTCCTCACTGCCCCCTGCTGCCAACCTGGACCGTCCAACATCAAACCCACATGGAGCCAAACCAAAGGTGGAGCCAGATTTACATCTTCATAATACTCCCCCACTCTTATTGCCAGCCATCTCACCTCAAGAACTGAATCCACCCGGAATTCAATGCTATGCTATTGAGCACATAGTGAAAAATGACGACAGCATAAGTCTCTACTCAGCACAGCGATCACATAATATCTTTGAAAACCTGCTGCACCTGCGACTGACATGGTTAAACACTTAAGACCAGAAACTCCACCCACCTTCTATCTACAAACACTTGACTCAGCAGATGGAAGTGTACAGAATGGTGAAGAGTTATATGCCAAATATGTAGACACCTTTCAAGATGCTGGTGAGAAGCTGTCAACCTAATTGCAACATCTGCAGGTTGCTCTGAACTTAGCGGTCAAGTGAGGCAGGGTATTGAGTAAAGACACTGAAAGATATTTGTTAACCCAATTCTGCCATGGTTGTTGGGACAATTCTCTCATTACAGACTTACAACTCAAACAACGGAAACACAACCACCCATAATTTGCAGAACTGCTCCTTTTGCTCAGGTTTGAGGAAGACCGGGAAGCTGCTAAAACTCTCCGCCTGAAACAACATCTAGGTGCAGTAAAATCAAGAGCCAGCATGCATGCTCAATATGCGATCTCCAATACTGACGAAAAAAAGGAAATAGCTGCTCTCACCAGTGTCACACAGCAACTCGCCCAGCAGCTTGCAGCCCAGTCCAGCAACAAGCAATCTGCCGAAGTCCACACTAGGGCATCAGCAGGGTGAGGGTCGGAGGATGGGCAAGCCACCAAAGAACTCGTCCTCTGCGCCTAAGCCTGGCTATTGCTTTTGGTGTGGTGAAGATGGCCATATAAATCCCCAGTGTGAGAATCTGCCAAATTCCACCCTGGTTGCAGGAAAGAAAAAGCAGTTTGCAGAACGACAATCAAGATGGCAGAAATCCACTTCAAGACAATCTTTAAACTAGATCCAGTTCCTGTTTTGGGGGGAACTTGAACTGTTGTGGACCCACAACGTCCCAACAAGAAGAACAAACAAACTATAAATTGTAAAGAACTGACTCAAACCACTCAAACTGTGTCATCCCAGTTACCCAAAGGCTTAATTGGTTCCCGTTGTGCAGCAAATATCAAGGTCACAGGCCAAGAATGTAACTGCCTCCTAGATACAGGGTCACAAGTCACAACCATCCCAGTTTCATTTTATAACCAGCACTTCTCTGACCAACTATTGAAACCCCTGTGTGACATATTGCAAGTGGAGGGAGCCACCGGACAAGTTGTACCTTATCTCAGATATGTGGAGATGATGGTTACCTTCCCAAGTGAATTCCTGGGGGCAGACTTTGACATGGCTTCTCTAGCACTCGTAGTCCCTGGAGTACTCACTGAGCACCAGTCCCCACTATTGATTGGCATGAACACTTTGGAGCCACTCTACAGCCAGTACAGGAGGAGTGAGTTTGCAGAATTTCAACCAGCTGCTCATGGCTATAAAGCAGTCCTCAAACTCCTGCAGATATGTCACCAACAGCAAGAGGCAGGCCCTGATGGTGTGGTATGCCTAGCCACCAAAAATCCTGTACTGATTCCAGCTGGTCGCACCAAAGTTGTTAAGGGTTCTATCCATGCTGACTTATCATCTCAAGGCCAGTGGGTGCTTGTGGAGCATCCAGCCTTACCACTGCCAGGTGGGCTGTTTGTCAAGAACACTCTGACCATGCTCCCAATCCAATCCCACCAGAAGATCCCAGTCATCCTTACCAACGAGGCTGATCAAGATGTAACCATTCAAACCCTCAGTACTATCGCTGCACTCTCCATGTCACCTCAGAGGTTTATCAAAGGATATGCAGCCATCAAAAAGCCTCTCCACGATCTTACACGTGGCTACACAACTACCTCCAAATCCAAACTCAAGACCAATCTAGTCAAAACCCAAGACCCCAAACAGCCTTCTGGAGAGAAATGGACACCTACCTGCCAGCATGCATTCGACACACTAATTGAAAATTTAACCAGTTCCCAGTCCTTGGTTTTGCTAATCCAAACCCGCCATATATTTTCCATACTGACGCCAGCGCCACTGGGCTCGGAGCAGCATTATATCAAATAGAAGAAGGTCAGCTCAGAGTCATCGCTTACGACAGCCGTGGCCTATCACTGAGCGAAGTGAGATACCCTGCACACAAGCTCGAGTTCCTTGCTTTGAAGTGGAGTGTGACAGAGAAACTAGATGACTACCTGTATGTGGCCAACTTTGTAGTGGTGACAGACAACAACCCACTCACCTACCTGTTGAAATCAGCGAAGTTGGATGCTGCCAGCCACAGGTGGCTCGCTGCCCTGTCCACATACCTTCAAACTGCAATACAGAGCTGGTAAACAAAATCTTGATGCTGATGTCTTGTCTTGCCACCCTCAGAGCCATCTTACTGACACCACCTCACAGAAAGATTGGGACCTGATCAACAAGTTCACGCAAGTGCATGTCACTGAACCGGGTGATGTAGAAGAAGTGGACCCTGAAGTTGTTTCTACCATTTGCCATTGCTGTCTTGTCGCCGGCCAGTCGAGCAGTTCAGCTGAGAGTCCTCTCACCCTGGTTGAATCCCTAAGCCTGTCTGCTGAGGCCATACCTGACTGTTTTGCCACTGTGTTTTTACTCTGTGTCACATTCCGACCTCTAAGAAAAGCAACACACTGATCCAGTCATAAGTGAGGTCATTAAACAGATGGAGATTGGAGAGAAAGTACTCACCACAGCAAGGCACGAACTTCCAGACCTAGCACTGCTGTTGAGGGAGCTGAATCATCTCAAGTTACGAGATAACATCTTGTATCGGAGGAGACAGGATCGAGAGCAAGTTTCATTCCAGCTAGTGTTGCCCAAGGAGCTAACGTCAATCATTCTAACCAGCCTCCACGACGACATAGGCAATATGGGCATTGAACAAACTTTGGACCTTGTGCGCTCCAGATTCTTCTGGCCTCGCATGGTAGCTGATGTGGAGTTCAAAATCGAAACATGCAGCTGATGTGTGAGACTTAAAACTCTCCCAGAAAGATCTGCACCACTGTTTAACATCAAGACCACTCGTCGCCTAGAGTTGCTTTGCATGGACTATATTTCCCTCGAGCCAGATCAAAGCAATACAAAAGACATCCTTGTTCTCATTGAACACTTCACGAAAGTTGCTGTTGCGATACTCATAGCAAATCTGAAGGTGAAGACAGTGGCAAAATGCTTGTGGGAGAACTTTATAGTTTGCTATGGGATCCCTGAACATCTCCACACAGACCAAGGACCTGTCTTCAAATCAAAGCTAATTAAAGAACATTGCCAGGTGATAGGAACAAAGTTCGCTTCAACAAACGAGTCACATCATCGTGTTTGGAGGAAGAAGACAGAGTCCTTGTCCGCAACATCAGGCTTCGAGGCCAGCATAAGCTTGGGGATAAATGGGAACAACACATTTACATCATTGTGAAACGTGCCGGAAGCTTGCCTGTGTACACTCTGCATCCAGAGACAAAGGAAAGACCAACTGGCATGCTATATTGGGATATCCTTCTCCCATGTTCCTTCCTGCTAGATAGTGATGACAGTGGTCCTACATCAAATACTCCACCACGTCCTCAAACAAGAAGTCGGAAACAAGCTATAGCTGATTTCAACGAAGACCCAGACAAAGATGAGGACTGGGAGTTACCTGGAGCTCTGATTCAGCAAACCTCATTTACCTTTGAGAGTGCACATCCAGTCAGTCCACTGCCTCAAGCTGATCCCACACCAGTGTCCCCCGCTGACCACCCTGTCGAATCTGTGCCTTCACCCTTACCCTTGCAATCAAACTTACCTCTTGGTCCTTTCACCAACTTACCTGGTGACGAATCCTTACCTGAAGGGGTGCGACCTATCTGTATTCCGCCAAACCCACCTGAAGAACCAGAGCTCCTTGGACAAGCAGAGGCATCACCCAGCCGAGATGAGCCATTGCTCAGTCCAACTGAAACACCTACGGAAGTACCTACCTCACCTAATGCTGCTGATGAATCAGATTCCATCGTCCGACACTCTAGTCAACAACGTCAACCACCCAATTGCTTGCAATACTCCACATTGGGTACAATCATCATCAGTCTGTGGTCACAGTTTGCAGCAACCACTTTGTAACAGTTCAGGACTGTATCATTTATTAATTTATATTTTCAAGGGTTTTTTTTGGACAATCATTTAGAAAGACAAATATCGTAAGTGACAGTAAACTTTCATTATAGGTCCTAACATGCAAAAAGCAAAAAGCTTTATGTCGTGCTCATTTTATTAGCTTAGTGTTGTAATTTGGTGTTTTACACGTTTTTAATCATTATTTGAGATTATCCTAGTGAAGCGGGTGATTTTAATTCTAAATAGTTATACACCTCCAGGCTTTTAACGTCTTTCATTTGGCCAAGTGTTTACGCGGTCTTCCGCACCACATCATGTTTTATCTCCATCGCCTCATCCGTCCATCCGTCCATTTTCTTCCGTTTATCCGGGGTTAGGTCGAAGGGGCCGGTAGTCTAAGCAGGGATTCATAGTCATTCATAGTCAAGGTGACATTATTTGCTCCTATTCGCACAGGCTTAGTCCGATTGTGCTGAAATTTCAATCACTAATGCGTGATCTCAACCTGAATATAATACAGTAAAAAGAATATGGAAAGTAAACACTATAGCGCCCCCTAACATACACATGAAAAGTCAACATTATCGGAATTGTACCAAATTTGGGAATTCAATTCTATGAACAACTAGAAGCAAAGACATGGGGCATTTTTCATGGTTGGCCAGAAGGGGGTGCAAAGAACATTTAAAGGTGTACTATGTCATTTTGCCGTTTGTAGGCATAGAATTTGTGGACACAGCGTTTAGGGTATGGTGTTGGCAGGGCACACCATTTGCAGGCGTGGCGTTCGCGAGCGCGGCAGGCGAGGGCCGTTCGACACCGCTTGCGGCTTTAATTATTAGGCCCGAGCCCCGAAAGGGCGTAGGGCCTATTGCTTCCGCTAAGCGGAGCGAATGGGGAGCGACGTGCGCATGTCCGAATGCGACAAGACGACATGCAACTATGTCCACGGTCGCCCCCGGCACGAACAGCAGTATCCCAGTAACCCACGCCCAAGGCCTGGCTCATATTTACTACTGCTAAAATGAATGGAAGTCAATGGAAGGCGATGGGTGACCTCGATGAGACGGCAAATGACGAGCGCGTCAGTGCCCGTCACTCACCAATGACCCCACGGTGACGTGGGGAAGGTCGAGAGCTTTCAAAAAATGTATAATATGTTGTTCCAACGTTTTCAGATATATTGTTTTTGCTAAAATTATTATTAGGCCCGAGCGCCAAGAGTGGCAAAGGGCCTATTGTTATTGTTCACCAGTGCGCACGCAAGCAGAGCGCGGAGCGCTCACCCCTTTCCAAACACACACTGGCACTCATGTCAGTGACTGGTGCCCGCTGACATGGCACGGTGGCATTGCCCATGGCCGAGACAGCGGCCTAATTGTTATTGTTCCCCCCAAAACGTAGTGCCATTCAATAGCGATACTCATGGCATCCAGTAGTACAGACTGGTATTGCCTATTGCCGTGACTGCGGGATAATTGTAATCATTAACTCTCGTAAATGCCAAAAACGTGCATTGGGTATGTGAGTAATCAAAGAGGTCAATGACGAGCGCAACACTATGATTTTTGTTCTCATTGATTCTATTCCAGTGTAGAAACACACGTGTTTGTGGCCTATTGGCTCATGGAGACTGAGCTGTGTGGTTTGTAGAGCTGTAGTTGAATTGTATTTTGTTGATTTGGGGCCAGTGCATATGTGTCCCTCCTGCCCTCTCTCTGCTCCTGAGCCGACGAGGCTCTGACACAGGAGGGAGAGCCACATGGAGAAGAGCACCAACACATTTAAACCTCTTTCCAGTCAATATGAACCATCCTCCAAACCATTTGACTTCATTTAATTCTATTTCACAAACAAGCACCAGCTTTTAGATGAGAGCTAAAAGAAAACTCCCTTTGTGTCTGTTCTTATTTCAGGCTCTTTCTGCTGGGTGTTTGCCAACGCAGGGGGCTGGGCCCACACCAGGGTGGACTTTGAGCTGCTGAGAACATTTGTGATGCTTTTCAAAATGTGCACAGTTAGTAATAACACTGTTGTCTTTCCCTTTGTTTGTCTTCAGTAGGTTTGTTGTAATTCTAATCTGTGTTCTGTGTTTCAGGATGAGTGAGCCCCTGATGGACGGATGATCTTTGGCTCTTTGAAAGGAGCCAGTGTGTTTGTGCTCCAACCCCCACTCTTTAAAGTGGCTCATATTTGGATGTCAAATAACTTATGACCTCATGTTGTTGTGGTTGGGCACTTTTTACTCAGTTTATTTTTTATTGTCTGTACTTTTTGTAATATATTTTTATTCATACAAGTTGTTCCTATTTTCCCTCATATTTTTCTTATTTCTAGTTGGTCCTTAGTTTCTTTAGAATCTTTCTCTGTGTTTGAATATATTTAGTAAAGTGTCTTTTTAGTCCTAGCTCCTTTTGTGTTGGGTTTCATGCTCGCTCTCTCCTCTGCTCGTCGTTGTCCGCCGCTCCCTGTGTCTTATGTAGAGAAAGTTTATGGGTTGTGTTTTGGTTGGGGTGGACAGCTCCTACAGCCCTGTACAGGGTCGGCCTGTCCAGCACCGTCCTTATTTTACACTGGACACCATGGTCTTTTCCTGTTAGTATGTTTCTTTTGGACACAGGTTCATTAAGGTTTTTTTTTATCATTTAAAAACAAGAGAACATAAGAAGAATCAAAATGAATAAACAAAAAGTCAAAGTAATAAAATCATTGAACTCTTAACTTTGATTCCTGTGTCCTTGTTAAATTTGTTTGGATTTCTACTTTTGGGTCATAACACATGTTTCATTTGTTTACAACAGTGTTCAGATCATTTTGTTCATTACTTATTGTGTTGTTCTTGTGTGTTTTAGAAGTTCAGCTGCATCATTGGTGAGAGGAGCTCAAACTGCAGAGGGCATCAGAATATGATAATCAGACGTTCATTAGACATGTGGACATGTTCTACCTCGTTATAAAGTGTAGAGTCTCTGGATTACAGCTCTTCAAACCAGTTTACACACAGATACATGTCCTAAAGCCTCAGCAATATTTATCTCCTCAGAACATCTCTTGTGTAAGAAAGAAGTGAAAAGCCTCCTGGAGTTTACCTTCAGGATGATACTTCCATCGGGACAGTGTCTTCAGTAGATCTGTCCTGTGCAGCTTCTGCAGGAGGCTCTGGGCCACAGTGATGCTGTGAACTCCATAAACTTGAACCAGGCTCTTCACGACGCCGTCTCTTTCCACTTCATTCCTGTTAATGATCGGGAACTGTCCCATTGAACTTTTGTCCGCCAGGAAATTCTTGAACTTTTGAGATTCATCCTCAGACAAAAGATTCAACAGTTTCCTTCAGCATCTTCAGAACAGCACCTTTTTTATCAGGTAATCTGTAAGAGGGTGAAGAGGGTGCAGAGGGAGAGGGTCAGAGGGTCAGAGGGTCAGAGGGTCAGAGGGTCAGAGCAGAGGGTCAGAGGGTCAGAGGGTCAGAGGGTCAGAGGGTCAGAGGGTCAGAGTCAGAGCAGAGGGTCAGAGGGTCAGAGGGTCAGAGGGTCAGAGGGCAGAGGGTCAGAGGGTCAGAGGGTCAGAGTCAGAGGGTCAGAGGGTCAGAGGGTCAGAGGGTCAGAGGGTCAGAGGGTCAGAGGGTCAGAGGAGAACATTCTCTGTGAGCTTCTGCAGTGAAACATGAAAAAGGTGAAAATGATATTTTGAGTCAGTTGAAGTTTGAAGTCACTTACAGTTTTATTTCCTCTGGAGATTTTTGGTGCTGAAACAAAGAAATATTTGTCTTTAATGTGTTGAAGTGAATGTGATTGATTGTGAAGTAAAACTCATGTGTTTGTAACGGGGCAGTGGCAGACGAGGTCAGGCCCACACAGTGTGTCTGAAACCTGAGCTCTTCATCCAGACACGACATTAACCCAGAATTCTCCGTCACTGAACACTTATTTTCACATGGGATGGAAAATTGTGAAGGCGTCATTTTGGCAGGTTTTTCTGAGGACCACGGCCCAACACTTTTAAAATAATTTGGGGGGCACAAAATATGTAGATGTGTTCCAATAAGGAGGAAAAATAATGAGTGAAAAATCAAATGCTTTGCTCTGTGAAACTGCCAGCTGAGTTCTCAGCCAGTGTGAAGTGGAAGTGGACTAAGGGAGTGTGACGTCACCCACAGCGTTTGGCTACGGCCAAAACAACTTCATCCAGTCTCGCAGTTATAGGGCGAATCTGGAGCCACGTCTATATTTGGAATTCTGACCGCGAGTATCGTAGCGACCAAAGAGCCAATCAGGAGCGAGGCTGTTGAGGGTCACTCCCCTTCTGCCCGCACCGCTGTAACCCACTGTGAGATTTGGTGATTTTACCTTTAGAAAAACACAGAGAGTTTCTGTCCTGGGCACGACTACGCTGTAAAAACCACATGTGTCATTGACTCGGGATGTTTTAATGTTGGACACATTTTCAGGAGTTTTAGCCACAGTTCACTGGGGAAAATGTGTGGGGTGATGAGGAAAAAACAGAAGAAGAAAGAATAAGGCGGAGGTTCCTTGTCACTGTGGACACGTCACTTCACCTCAGTTCACTTCCCGGCCACTAGGAGCAGCACTTTGAGATACTAATAGGCCCTTTAGCTCCTGCCACTCGGGCCTAATAATAATGAATGCATAAATTGACTGTATATGTGTAAGAGCAGTGTGCTGAGGGGCTGGTCTGGAGCTTCTCTGGAGGATCTTCTCACCTCTTTGGCCTTTTTACGTCTCCAGAGGAAGAAGCCGATGGTGATGGTGATGGTGAGAAGGAGGAGGAGAAAGACTGTGACTCCAATCAAAGTAGCAGAAGAAACAGGTGGATCTGCTGTGGGACAGATAAAACACACTGATAACACTAATGCCAACAACACGCACCACGCAGATTAAACACCAATCAATGATAAAGATTATGCACGACTGATCAAACTGTCACACTTTGATCCTATTTCATTCATTATTTCAAAATTCTCATCCAAATCTTACACCTAAAAACTTGAACTATTTAACTTTTGAAAAACAAAACAGTTGTACTTCTGACACACATCTAAAATAACCTAAATGACCTTAAATAAAATGAATAATATCCAAGGTTTGCACTGAAGTGAGTTTCTAAAGAAAGATCTCTCCTGTGAGTAAAGATGGTTCATGAAACAATCAAAGGAACTTGAGGAAATCCTTTGTCATAATGTGAAAAGTCAAACATTAAAGCCTTTACACACATTCAGTGCATTAATATGTGAGTACAAACAGCTGTAGGTCAGTGGACTCTCAAACTGTGTTCCCTCTTTGCTGAAGCAGGTGACCATCTAAAACAAATAAATGATCTTTGCAAATGAAGGCCGCCCTCGGACTGGGACACGGCCACAGTCTCCTGATTTGTCTTCATGTTTGTTTGGTTTAAATGTTTATATAGTTTTATTTGGACGGGAGAGTCATGTGACTCACCTGGTCTCAGGACTCACCTGGTCCTTTGGTTGGTCTGAGTTGGGTCCTGGAGATGTAGATGTGGTCGTCTGTGTGGACTTCACAGAGGAACACGCCTGTTTTCTCTGGGCTCAGCTCCTTCAGACTCAAACTGCCCGACTCTGACACGCCCGCCACAAACGGCCTCCAGGGGGCGGCGTAGGTCACATTTCCTTGGCTCTGGCTCAGGATGTTGTGGATGTAGTTGAAGGTCCACTTCAGGCTCTTCACTGGAGCCGAGGAGGTGGAGCAGGGGAGGGTCACGTTTGAGGACATCTCCACTGGAGCTGTGGACACACATTTAGAACCGTCTCACAAAAGACAGGTGCGGACCAGGGCAGGTGCAGACAGGGGCAGACTCACGGTGCAGGCTGTAGGTGGCGCTCTTCCAGCTGTGGCGCGTGCTGATGTTACAGGTGTAACGCTGAGGAGGGTCGGGGTCAAAGCTGAGCGAGCTGCTGATGGAGTAGAGCTGGTTCTCCATCGGCTGCACCCGAGTTTGGTGGGCGGAGTCAGGGGCCCAGCTCACGTCGGGCTGAGGGTAGATGCCCTCAGAGCTGCAGACCAGAACATCTCCTTTAATCTCCATCAGCACGGACGCCACAGGACCTACGAAGAGACAGTGAGGAGGAGCACAGCACAGAGACGTCCTGTCCACTCAGACCGACTGCAAAGACCCAAAGGCCTGTCGCCACAACACATTTACAAGTCCATTTATCCAAACACAAAACTAACACCACAAGATTCAAACGACTTTAATATGAATTTGGGTCATTAGTGTTTTGTAAATTGCACTTATTATTTTATTATTAATTCATATGATTTATGATATTATGTTTGGGCACATTACATTTACTTTTCTCCATAATAATATCAGTTTCTAAAAATATTGCAGCATCTTTGACTGAATGAAAGTCGATGTAGTGATTATGGCGACAGGTCGAGTCCCACAGAGACGCACTCTGTCTCTGCTGCTCTTACCTTCCACGCTCAGACGAACATCTAACTCCCGACCAGAGCCAGAAGTAGAGAACACACCACAGAAGTACGTGCCTTCATCTGACACTTTCACATCCGACAGCTGGAGAGAGGCGTTTCCTCCTGAGAGCTGCTCCAGAAATAAAGAAGTGCGCCCCCTAAAGGTCGGAGCCTGCTTTTCAAGCCACTCTGCTTCATACTGGAAACCATGAACCACTAAGTTTCCTTCATGTTTGAACCAGTGGAGAGTTGAGATCTGACCATCAATGCTGCAGGGCAGGAAACAGGTTTCCCTGACGACACAAGACACCGACAGGGACTCTGAGGAGACAAGGAGACATGTTAGGAGAGAAGGAAATGACTGAGAGGACAAGGATACATTTAGGAAAGAAGTTAAGAACCAAGGAAACATGTAGGAAAAAGGTTTAGTCAAGTCAAGATGTTTTTATTTGAGTCTAAGTGGAATCCAGCCGCTTAGGACGACTATTTCAAGCTTTATTTAACCACTCTAGTGACCACCAATGCCCACTACTTTTGCACTTTGGGAAAGTTTGAGTGCTCTAGATGAATAGCCCCTCCTTGAACCGCCACCTTAACCTGGTGGAGGGGTTTGAGTGCCCGAATGATCCCGGGAGCTGTGGGCTTCATACCCCTGGTCTCCCAAGGAAAACAGGTCTAGGGGACGGGTCAAACTAAGAGTGGTTCAAAAAACCTTTATGATGAGCACAGCAACACGGTCATTTACATCGCACAGATTGGAGATACCGGGGCCACACCCTGGAGCCAGGCCTGGGGTGGGCACTCGACAGCAAACGTTTGATGGTTGGGCCTTTCCCCACAGGGCCTATCCGGGCACAGTCCGAACGAGCAACGTGGGGCCGTCCTTCTGTGGAGGATCCACATGGGGTCGATGTAGGGAGATCTGGGCAGCAGTCGAAGGCAGGGGCCTCAACAACCAGTTCTATGGACATGGAGACGAGCTCTGGGGACATGGAATGTCATCTCACTGGGAGGGAGGAGCCTGAGCTTGTGCAGGAGGTTGAGTGTTACTGACTAGATATAGTCGGCCTCACCTCCATGCACAGTTCGGGCTCTAGAACCAAACTCCTTGGAGAGGGGATGGACTCTATTTCTCTGGCGTTGCCCGTGGGGAGCGGCAGCGGGCTGGTGTGGGCTCATTGCCCCATAGCTCAGCCACCGTGTGTTGTAGTTCACCTCGGTGAACGAGAGGGTCACATCCCTGCGCCTTCGGGTCGGGGACAGGTCACTGTGGTGTTGGTCTACAGGCCGAACAGCAGTGCAGAGTACTCGAGTACCCGGTCTTCTCCTAGGCCCTGGGAGGGGTACTAGACAGTGCACCAACCGGGGTTGTTCTACTGGGGGACTTCAACGCCCACGTGGGCAACGACAGTGACACTTGGAGAGGGGTGATTGGGAGGAACGTTCTCCCTGATCTGAACCNGAGCTGCAGAGCTGCTGTTTGACACATTCGTCTGGCAAGAAAGTCTGGATCACCTTAAAATCAGTGACATGTCTCCTCCTGCATCTGTCTGCGCAGCTTAGCCCGAGTCTGTCTCATAAACTGTTTATATAAATGGACTTATCTAACCTGTAGGCGCTGCATTCCAAAGAAGAAATGACAATTGGCTTTGGCTCCAACGTTTCTATTGAAAGTCATTTTGGTCCCTCTTTATTTCACTTTCACTAACAGACCAATCAGCTCCTTCTTTCCCCGAGGTCCCTCCCACTCGTGTTAGCAACAGGTTTGATTGACAGTGGCAGAATTTCTAATATTAAACTCGGCTTTAAATTCTCCCTTATAACTGCTAGCCTCAGTGAGCTTCATCTGACTGTAGCTGAACGCTCTGGGTGACGTCACACTCCCTTAGTTCACTTCGTAATACAGTCTATGGTGAGTCTGCACAGGTGAGCCTGGGTCTGTCTGTGAATCACTCAAAAAGCTTTTACTCCACCAGCACAAACTCCTCAAGGTGAATTTAGACAAAGACAAAAAGAAAAGACTTTTATAATGTATAATTCTGACCTGAGCTGTTCCAGTTTACAGTGACGACTCTTCAGTCAACACAAAACATCTCAGCCCGGAGCTTCAAGTGGTTGAGACTGAGGTCCAGGACTCTCAGACTAGAGGACTGGAGCTGAGACTGAGGACAGAGCTTCACAGCTTCTCTCTGACAGGTTACAGCCGCTCAGTCTGGAGACAGAAAACATTGTTTATGTAGAAGTTGAATCAAACCATCCTCTGTTAAACAAGGAGACTCACAGAGCTTTGGTGGAGGCCTTGACCACTGGCGCAGCCTCAGGAGAGCCTCCTCTAAGCACAGTATTTATTCAGCTCAAATGCTCCAGATCTTCTTCTGTGACAGTAAGATGAAGGCCAGAGCTGGCCAATCGCAGGAGAAAGTCCACCTTCAGACACATCCTGATCTCAGGTACAGTTGGATCTGCTCCAACAGAGAACGATCATTCAGTTCATTCAGGTGGGCAGGTTGATGCTCCTCTCTGCAGACACATCCCACTCAGCTTCTTCTTGATGTACTCAGCTGTTTTTGATTGGTCTGGGACCTACTTCCTGTCTGTGGCAGCAACCTTGTAGAAGGCTCTGATTGGTCGACAGTGAAAGACCCAGGGAAGCGGAAGAGCAGGTCCAGGTGTCCATTGGACTGTAAGGCCTGGTCCACAGCAGAGCAGTAGAAGGTTTCAGTGTCAGGACACTCAGAGGACTGTGGTGGGTTCAGCAGGTTGATCCCAGTGTTGATGAAGGTCTGATGGATGAAGCAGCCAGAAACTCCTGCACACTCAATGGATGAAGCAGTAGACCTTGTCCTGGTACAGGCCTGGCCCTTAAAGACCTGTGTGAACACTCCGGAGTACACTGAGGACGCTTCAGATCCAGCCCACACTCGCTCAGGTCTCCGTAGAAGATCAGGTTTCCTGCAGCTGCTCAAAGGCCAGTTTCCCAGAGACTCCACCATCTCCCTGGTCTCTGGACTCCAGTGTGGGTCTGTCTCGATCCTCCTTCATACTTGATGTTCTTGACTTTGGCCTGAACCACCAGGAAGTGGATGTACATCTGAGTCAGGGTCTCGGGCAGCTCTCCTCTCTCTCTGCTTTTCAACAGATGTCAGGACTGCGCAGCGACCAGCAGAAGATCGGCAGGTGCACATGATGTGGAGGATTCGGACTCTTGATGTGGAGATGATTGTGTCGGCCTTGTCGCTGAACTTCTTCCTGAAGTACTGCTCTTCTGTGGGTCGGGAACCCTCTGACCTCTGTCACCATGGAGACGCATCAGCAGGGATCTGATTGCCGCCGCGGGTCGTGTGGTTATCCAGAGGCGAGCGAGGGAAGCAGGCTCCCCCTGGAGGTTCACCAGCAGCACGTGCACTGAGGCGGACTTCTGTGGGGTCGCTCAGGACCTGGTTTTGTGAAGTCCAGAGAAGTCTGCACTCATCCAGACCGTCAAAATGAAGAGCACCTGGAGCTTTGGAAGCTGCAGAATTTGATGGACTGAAGAAGTGATGCACCAGCTCCACCAGGCTGAACTTTATGTCTTGAGCACATTGAGCTCTCTGAAAGTGAACGGGAACAGCAGCTGTATGTCCTGGTGTTTGCCTTCAGCCAGTCCAGACTGAACTTCTGAGGAGACTGTTTTCTCCACACCAGCCACGCCCTTGTCAGCACTGTTCTGATTGGTTCTTGTGATTGGTTTTGGGTTTAAAAGATGTCCTCACATTGGACAGGTGTCTCATCGTCTGGTTTCCTGGAGGCTGTCCCATGTATCTGATCTCATTTCCTGGTTGACCTGTCCTGATCCTCACAGTGATGTAGAGTCTGTGAAGTGTTCATAAAACTCTTTCTTTTCACTGA